TAGATGTGCAGCAACGTACAATTAGAAGTGACCAAACTTTTAATGAACTACAATTACATACATAAATCATCTATATAATTAGAATACTTTATCATAAAGATTAATAATATATTTCTAATCACATTATTAGAAATATATCTCCATAAATGTTTTTTCTTTTTGGACAGTCATATGGAAAATGGGCTGAGTTTTAACAAAATTCACATTGACCCAACCACCATTTACAAAAGCGAGTAAAGTTCACTCCCGACAGAAAACTCCTAAACACCATGTTCAACCGGATTTAGCTAGGTCGAATTAAGTTGGATACCCATAGATTCGGCTTCAATGAACACGCTTTGACTGAGTTAAATTAGGTTCGATACTTATGGGTTTGGCTTTAACTTTCAATATCAACTAAAACTCAAATCCGACCTAACTCACCAATTTCCGAAGCTGGTAAAACCTGCACTGACCCAAAACTCGTCAATACGATTTTACCCACTTTGATCGGGTTGGGTTGGATAACCATGGGTTTGAATTCAACTGCCATTCTTATATTTTTTATAAGTGAATACTGAATACTTCTATTTAATGTAAGATAATTATATTAGCTGTATGTGTTTATGTCAAGAATTAACTATAATTATGTGTTGGTTGTTACATTTTATTCATATATAAATTGCGAATTGATGCATTGACTGTAAATTATTCTCACTTCGTGAGAATGTGATGTTATATTGGTTAATCTGGTTAACTAATTGACCAAACCGTTTAAAATTTAGTTTGGTTAATTTTGTTGTTTTATTAGTTGGACGGTTTGGTTATAATATTGTATTTCATAGTTAATAAATTTTAAATTTATCAGATTTGGTAATTATCATGGTAACCATTTGAACACCTCTACAAGCAACTTCTACTTATGAGTAAGGGGAGCCTGTAGCCCGACAAGATGTTTCTGCAAATATATATGTTCATATTCTTCATAATCTTTTTTCCAATACTTCCTTTGAATTGGGGAGCGGATCAGGTCAGTAACCCATATGGTGAGTAACCATCAGTAACCTGTCCACATCCACATGACATTAGCATGCCCTCTCTCCTGAATAGTCTTTTATTTTTTCCCCTTTAATCTTTAATGGACGATTTCTCTCTCGTTTTAGGTCGAAATTTAATTTTTTTTTGCGCAGATAAATCAGATTAAATGTGTTCTTCAAAATGATATCCACTTTGATATATTTTTAGTACAAAAAATTGAATAATTTTTTACCAGTCATTACCATATGGTATGCTCATATTTAATACCATATGGTAAGAAAGCGTACCGTGATGGTATGAACATACCAATATGGTAAGAAGGTTGAATACATGATAGTAGGAGTATACTAATTGTCATTTACGACTTTCATCATTGTTTACCACAAGTTACCACCCACATACCATAGTGGTAAAGTATGATAATTTTTTGTCCAGTATTTTTTCACCCAGAAATTTGTAGATCCAATAGATCATGATGAACTCGTTCCTTCTGAGCAAACATTTTCAAAAACGACTTAAAAACGAAGAAGTTACTATATGGTATGTAGTTGGTATAAAAAAAGTTTCTCGAAATATATTGAAAATTGATCTCATTTTGTAGAGCGCAACGAACTCGTTCCATGTGTGCAAAAAAAATTGAAATCCGATTTAGAACGAAGAAGATAAGAGCCGATTATGAAAACTAGGGAAAATAAAATGTCTTTAGTTGACAACCCTTAGATCTGAATTTTCTGGACCTACTTAGATCTAAAGGTCCAGATTTAGTTACTCAATTGTTACTGACGCTGTTCTAAGCCTTTGAATTGATCGAGACTGATTGTCACAAGAACATAAAGTTTGTTTGCAATGAATATTTAGAAGATGAGTGGCTTAACAAAATTATTTAGAAGGTGAGTGGCCTGAAAATTGAGACTTAGAGAGGGAATACAATGAATCATATATTTGCAATTAATCTTTCCATCAGTAATTTTTTTTGTTCAAACCGCCGTTGAACAGTAATCCTTAAAATTTGAATCCATTAAAGGAAAAATAAAAATGATATATAGGCACCTACAGCTATATGTTGCCGCGTGGATGGGCTGAAGCCTGAAGGCTCCCTGCATTGCATACAAATATTGTCGTTTGCAAAACGGTACGTGTCAGAAGGGGTGGAGCTGGCGCCTGGCAGTGGTCGGGCCCCACTCAGCTGCTACAATCAGATATGTGGAAGAATAAAATCATAATTGTACTTGAGATACTGAGGAAAAGGCCGTACAAATCGAGGACCACCTCCAATTTTTCTCTATCTCTATTGCCTTTCCTTGCTCGGGTAATTTGGAGGTATGTGGCGTTATTGTTATTATTATAAATTTCCAAAAAAAAATATTACATAATTATTTACTGTTAAGTGTTAACTATTTACTATTTACCTACTTAGTTTTGGTAGGTGTCGACAGTTCTATTTTGTAGGTCTAGCCCTCATTTTACTTTGAATAGTGTGCATTGTTACCTCTTCTCCTTCTCTTTCCCCTAGAACGAAACGAATGTAGTAATAAGTAAATAAATAAACAGAGCCAATGCGTATAAATATAAAAGTATCATTCTGCAAACTAAGTATGTCAAAACATAATCCAACTCGAAAAATTTGTTCGATTGACCATTCGCAATTCGAATTGGCTAAAAATTAATGACTTGTAACCCGCCTGACCCGCAATCAGACGAAGATGTAACCCGATTAACCCAAACTCGATCGGCCTCCAACCCGATTAAACTCGTAACCTATTGACCTAGACCCGACTAACGCGTGACCCGATCGAACCAACCAGAACTCGTCCAATTGATATGAATAATTACTATATTATATAGTATATTCTTCCATAATTAAGTTTTGTTGTTCTAAATGTAAGAATCTGAAATTTACTTGAAATAATTTTTTTATAAAACTACAAAAATTAAAACCTAAACTCAATTGAACATTAAGTTGTTTAACAAAATTTGAAAATATGAAACATAAAATTAGCAAAGTGCCACTCAAAATATCTCAAATACAAGCTATGTTATAGATCATATATTTAATTACTTATAAATTTAATTATCACAATATTTAATTACTTATAAATTTGATTATCACAATATTTATTTTGATGTTATAGGAGGTTAGTATGCAGTGACTAAGACATTTTTTATGGTAAACCTTTATCATGATCTTATAGGGCATGACTAATTGGATATAGTAGATTTAGGACTATATCATTAGTTATCATATATCAATAACGTCACTCTAACTATTTCAAGTGCATGTTATTTTATATTATAGATCCTATACTTAATTATTTATCAATTTAATTATCTCAATTTTTACAGATTATAGGTTAAGAGTTTAGCATTTAGTAACTATAACATTGTCTATAGCAAACCTCGTTATATCCTTATAGGGCATGGCTAATTGGCTATAATAAATTTGAGAACCTATAATGAGTCAACGTCATATCATAATGAATCGCTTATGTTATAGTACACATAACCTATCATTTGTCATATTAACTAATTTAACACCTTCTGATAAACAACGTACTTTTCTAGCTATATGAACTAATTTGACTAATTTTGAGGATATGGAGTTTATGGTTTAGGTATGCGTACACTAACTTTACCGTATGCCCATCGAGATTGATCTTAGTGTATGAGATTCATATAATTAAGACCTACATTAAATGTTTAAGAGTTAAGTTACAATATCATGTCATAAACTTCGATTAGCATAATGTCTAAAAATATTATTTTTTTTACTCAATATATGTCATACTTTTGATTTTACTCAAGGTATGATAGTTACTTATATATATATATATATATATATATGTATGTATATGGCAAAGGCTAGCGTACACCTGAGGTACACTGTACGTCTGTGTTCACACTTATTAATTGTAAATCAAGTTTTATAATTAAATAAAATATGAATAAAATCTATAATTACAACCGCACTCGTTAATTTATTTTTCTATACAATGTAGTCCTCCAACAATTTTTATCCTTCGTTATTATTGAATCAATCATTCCTTTGACACACTAAATCAAGAGCACTTCTACTATGCTATATAGCATTGGTGCTTTAATGTACAACTCAAAGTTGTACCATAACATTAAATGTATAAGTTTAGGTTGTACCATAATGCAATTTGTACCATTATGTTATGGTACAACTTTACAACTTGAAGTTGTACCATCACGTAAAGGTACAAGTTCAAGTTGTACCATAAAAGAATTTGTACAAAAAGTATAGGTACAATATAAAGTTGTACCATAACGTAAATGTACAATTTTAAGTTGTGCCATAAAGGCAAAAACCTATAGCACCAATACTATATAGCATTGTAAAATTTCTCTTAAATCAATCCTTTAAGTGTTGGTCGATCATTCTATAATTATAGTACTGCCTTTCTCCAAATAGCACACCTCAAATTAAATTATAGAACTTACTTTCTCCAAATTCCAAATCATAGTCTGAAAATCCTAGTCTCATTAAGAATGATAAACATCAACGGTAAGATGATTATATCTCTAACATGATTTATTGCTCGGGTATATGAACGATGAAAGCGTCCATGCTCACTCTGGTGCGTTCCGGGATTACAGAGCTATGTTATATGCAGTATTAAGCCACCTTCACTCACCTAGTATGTATTGATTTATAAATCAATGTTCTTTTATAAGATAGAAATCTAAACAGTTTTGCCAATGATGGCAGTGAGACCACCTGCACAAGCTTAATCAAAATTCAAATAACCATGACAGTTGCATCCAAATCCAATCATCTATTCATTGAAGGCTTCGCCCTTATTCAAATTGGCCTTTGATGGGAGCAACGAAGGAAAAATTTTGTCTTTACAGAAGCCGGGATGTGAGTCAGTACCGGCGATGGCGAATATATGTTTGACCTAGAAACCCCTCTCTGCATTCCCATTTGTATCACTACCGGGAGTATGTTATTCCCAAATATCCTAAAATTTCCAAGATTCTAGACTACATTCAGATTTGATATCGGATCCCGGCATCAGCGACCGTCTATGCCCAAAGGTGCTCTTGCGTTCTTCAAAGCTCCCAGCTTCGTTATCACCACCCAACGGCGAGAACTGAATATTCCACTGCTCCGAAGTTGTGGCTCGTACCGCAAGGGACCCGTAGTGGGTGGAGGCGCAACACATTCCGGGATGTTGTTGATGACTGTTCAGGATTTGAATCTTCATCCAATTACGTCTTTTAATTTTGATCTACCAATTCTCAGTCTGTTTCACACAAACTCATATTGGTCGACTTCCTTCTCCCTGATTATGATCAAAGCACTCCCTGCAAATGAGATAAGTGAAATAGGATATTATAACCTATAAGTTAAAAATTAGGTGAAAATGAATATGTTATTTAATTTTGGGGGTGTATGTAATTTTATTAAAATTAATTAATTAATTAAAATTAGTAAATAATTAGTATGTGTGAACACAGGTGTATAGCGTACACCGGTGTACGCTAGCCTGAACCGTATATATATATAGTGCCTTCTACGATACCCCGGGTGAAATCCAGGGTACCACATACCTTGAGTATGAAAACGCTATCTATACCTCGAATTGGCAGGATTTTTGGACATTATACTATACCCTAACCTTTAATGAGTGAACCATAGGTCCTAATTATCTAAATCATAAGCTATAAACGCTAAGATGATGCATTGATTTTTTTGCCTATATTTGGACAAATCATAACCGTCGATCATCGTTTCTAATTAAATTGATCTTGGGGTATAAGATTTAGAGAATTAAGACATAGATGTTGATCTTTAAGGGTTAGAGTATAGTATCATGTCCGAAAGATTAGTCAATTCAAGTGTTGGATAGCGTTTTCTTACTCAAGGTATGCGGTACCTCGGATTTCACCCTGGGTACCGTAGAACTCTCCCATATATATATATATATATATATATATATATATATATATATGATTTTCTATAAGTTTAATAACAAATTTAATCATAAGCCACAATTAGCCTCTGAATCTATTGTGCAAAAGAAAACATTAAACATGGGAACTTTTTTTTTACGGGAGAAAACATGGGTACTTGAAATGGAGTATTAATGCTGAAATTCTTTATGGCAACTGCCAAGTGAAGGTAGAGATGGATTGATTTGGATCGTTGATTTAGAGATTTGATCAATGGGTGGGAATGACGATCCGCGTCACTCTATTGACAACGACATGTGCTTTGGTTAATTGTAATTTGGAAGGTAGCTTGGTAGAGATGGTAATGGGTCGGGTTGGGGCTGGTTTTGCCAAACCCAAACACAAACTCATGGGATGGCAATTGGTCGGGTTGGGGCGGGTTTTGCCAAACCCAACCACAAACTCATGGGTTTATCCGCTAAAAAAATCTGGGGTAAAACTCGCTGGGTTTGAAAAACTCAAATCCAACCCAACTCGCTGGGTATCCGCGGGTTCGTGGGTACCCGTGGGTTTTGTGATAAAAAAAATTTAAAATAACAATTACCATACCATTCTAGAAAATTAAGCATCAATCTCGTAACATAAACTATCCATACATAAACATACCATTCTAGAAAATTCAAGCATATCACACACTATCCATACAAAATTGTTCAACATCAATCTAAAAAATTCAAGAAAGTCAAAAATTATCCATAAACAACCAAATTAATTGAAGTTTCTTCCTTCTTGAGAACTAGAACATTATCATCTTCGCTTCACTTTCCGCGTTACAATATGAACTTCATTCTACACAATTAGGTAGACCAAAATTAGACATGTCTCAACAAAAGGAAGATGAGTTTCTTAAAGAAGATATATTGCTTAAAATAGTGAATATAACGATACCACATGAAGCACAATCTGGATCTAGGTCATCATTAACAGTGGCATAAGTCATGAGCTTATCCATTGTTTCTAAACCATCTGCAAATGAAATAGCAAGTTAGCAAATAATAGTAACCAGCAATATGATAACTCACAACATGTATTAAAGTTCATATGTGAAATCAAACAATCAAAGGTTATCAAACTACCTGTAATGGTTGAATTGAGCAACCAATTTTGAGCACACATCAGAACCTCAATAGTTTCTGGGAGAAGTCTGATGCGGCTAGGGCTAACTAGTCTTCCACCAGCACTAAAAGTAAACTCAGAAGCCACAGTAGTCACTGGAATTGCAAGTATGTCTCTAGCAATCAATGCTAAAGTCGGATACTTTGTCTCATTTGCCTTCCACCACAATAAAATGTCAAATCCAGCTATCTTGGGCAAGACTTTCTCCTTGAGGTAGCCATCCAACTCACTTTCAACATCTACACTCCTAGTAGTCAACGATGCTACATACCTACCATATGTTGTCATTCTTCCTCCACCTTGACTAATCGAACTCACATCATGAGACGAATTGCCATCTTGATTCCCATCCACATTTGACTTCTTATAATCCTTCTCCAATTCAACCAACAATTGTCGAACACTCTCAATACATGCCCTTGATTCATCACCGTCGATATCTGGAAAGTAGCACTCCAACAAGGTAAACTTATACCTTGGATCAAATACAACAGAAATAGCTAAAACATCATGAATAATACTCCAATACTTCTCAAATTTTGTCATCATGCTTTTGGCCATATCACTAATGAAAACATCATCATCCAACATCCAATTAGAGATGCCCACCTTTATGTCACACACCTTTTCAAAGAACAAATTGGAGGTTGGATATTTAGCCCCTGAAAACAGCTCAGTCACATCATAAAGCAACTCCAACTTGTCACAAACCTTCCTTGCAAACTCCCAATCAGAATCACTAGGTAAATTCTTATAATCCTTCTCCATTTGCTTCAGACGAGGAAAGACAATCTTATATTTCAAAGCAGAATGAAGCATAAAAAAGGTAGAGTTCCACCTAGTTGGGCAATCCAATGACAAACTTTTTCCTTAAGAAATTTTCAATTGTTTTGCAGCTATTTCAAACTTCTCTTTCCTTTTAGGAGTAGTTGTCCAGAACTGCACACTATCACGAATGCGCTCTACACTCTTCTTTATCACATCCAATCCATCCTTGACAATCAAGTTAAGGATATGAGCATAACAACGCATATGAATTTTAGCCCCAGACCACATCAAATGCTCAGAATTCAACTTATACTTCACCAAGTCAATCAATGCATCATTCGTACTACACTTATCTAGAGTAATTGCAGACAACTTTGTATCAACATTCCAATCATACAAAGTTTCGATAAGAACCTGAGCAAGTGCTTCACTAGTATGCGAGCAAGGTACATATACGAACCTACAACCAAAACATATCGACAAGCAAAAGGTTAGATGCTACAAACACAAAAAAGAAGCAAGAAAAGAGCAAAAATAGGTGTTGCCAGCACACAAAAATCACATAAAACAGCTCATTAATCACATAAAACAGCCCCAAAAATAAAAAATCAATAAACAATGATTGAATAGGATTAAATACCTAAGAATGTAGCTCCGCATTGTCCAAGAAGCATCAATAAAATGGGCAGTTACCACCACAAAACGAATGTAGCAATGACATTAAGTAAATAAATAAGCAGGGTTAATGTATAAATAATAAAATTATCATTCTGCAAACTATGTATTGTAGTTAAAGATGTCAAACATAATCCAACCCGAATAACATGTCTGGTTAACCTGACCCACAACCCGTCCAATTGACACGCAATCCGACAGACCGGTAACCAGATTAACCGAAACTCGATTGGCCACAAACCTTATTAAACTCGTAACCTGTTGACCTGGACCCGACTAACGCGTGACACAATTGACCCAACCTGAAGTCGCCTAATTGATCTGAATATTTACTATATTAAATAATATATTCTTTTTCCATAATTAAGTTTTTTCTTCTGTATGTAAGAATATGAAATTTACTTGAAATAATGTATTTTTAATAAAATTACAAATTTTAAAAATCCAAGCTCAATTGGACATTAAGTTCTTTAAGAAAATTTAAATATATGAAATATAAAATTAGCAAAGTGTCACTCGAATTATTTCAAATGCAAGCTATGTTATAAATCATATATATTTTATTACTTATAGATTTGATTATCCCAATATTTACATCATATAGGAAGTTAGCAAGTAGTGAGTAGTGGCTAAGTCATTATCTATAGTAAACATTTATTATAGCATTATAGGGCATGAGTAATTGGATAAGGTAGATTTAGAAACATATTATGAGTCATCCTATCTCAATAATGCCACTCTAACTATTTCAAATGCATGCTATTTTACATTATAGATAATATACTTAATTATTTACCAATTCAATTATCATTATGTTTACAGATTATGGGTTAAAAGTTTAGCATTATTAACTAATACATTGTCGACAATAAACCTTATTATATTTTTATAGGCATGGTTAATTGGCTATAATAGAGTTGAGGACCTACAATGAGTCATCGTATCATAATCAATCACTTATGTTATAGACTTATAGTACACTTATGTTTTAGGGTATGGAGTTTATTGTTCAGGCATGCATATGCTAACTTTACCGTACGCCAATCGAAATTGATTTTAGTGTATGAGATTTATATAATTAAGATATATATTTTAATTTTAAGGGTTAGGGTATAATATCATGTTCTAAACTCCGGTCAACTTATAAAAACATATTTTGTTATAAAAACATTGAATATGCCAATACACAACTTATGAAACATACATCAAATATTTAAAATGTCAATCATTCTCACTTAAATACGTGTTATTTTTAATACCCGATTAACTATTATACGTAATTTACCGTTTTTTTCTCCCGAACCAACCCACTCCCTCCCCCCTGTCTGGAACGTGATTTACCTGCAATCTTATTAGCTCGTGATCTGGTTAACTAGTAACACAATTAGCCAGCAACTCGATAAACTCGTAACTAAATAACTCGCAATCCGATTGACCCACAACCCAATAAATCCAAATTCAACTAACTTGTAACCTATTGAACCCCACCCGAATCCACTCAATAGACACCTCTAACCTTAGGTAGATTCTCCATCCACAACAAACGTCCTCTATTGAATTGATTTACCAAACTAGCTTTATGACATGCAGCGAGAATATATATATATATATATATATATATATATATATATATATATATATATATATGAGT